ATAATAATTATCTTTGAATAAATTCAGTGAACGCCCCTAGAAATAACTGACCCGAAAGGCATCGCACAGAGTTTGGTTTCCGGTGAGTACTGGATTACGAAACTTCCTTTTCTTTACTCTTTCGGAGATCATGTTTCGAGTAGTGAACGGTACAGTGATTGAAGATTCCAGCTCACCATGAAGAAGCAGTTGGAAGCTGTCTGTAAAAAGAGAATCATTCCACTGAGCATAGTTATATCCAAGTAGGCGGCGCTACAAATCCGCTATAGAGACCTAACACTGTTCTTGACAGTTGATAGTTGGGGACTACCCCTCTCCTCCTTTCACCCCGCCCGACAGCAGAGTCTGGGTTCTTTTACAGAAAAATGGGGGGGGGAGTTGAAAGAACTGGGGAAAGTGATAGGTAGATTGTGAAAGGGGATCGTACCCAAGGAGGATATTCAGGTAGTAGTGATTCTATCCTAGCAATTCAAAAACGATTCACGCGATCAAGTACGGGTAGTAGACGCTCAATCATGAACCAATAGCTCGTAAGTGACTCCCTTCTAGAATAAGCGAAAAAACCTTGGGAACACTTCGAAGAGAGACTCCTTAGCAGTGGGCTCCTCGGACGAGTTTGTCTGGCAAGCCCAATCAGCAGGATTCGACGTGCAACTGATTCCCGGCAAGAGCACAGGAAATCACCCTACGACGCTCCAGGCAACGCTATGACACACGCAATTCCGCTTGTAAGCCGTTGTCTTGCAGAGTGAATGTAGTGTGGTAGCAAGAAACCACGCGTCCCTGGCTTCTTTATCTCGTCATTTCGAGTGACGAAATTGGCGTATTCCCTGCGAATGCGGATAATGATGCCAAATGCAGTTAGGCATTTCAAAGACCACTTGATCGCGGGGGCTGTCTTTAACCCATCGTTATGCTGTACCTCCTTTGAGCGAAAAACTTGAACTTGGAGAGGGACAGGCTGACTATTGCAAGCATGAAGGACCACTAACCGAAAATATTTGGCGCA